GGACCTGAACCTGTTCAGCCTCCAAAAGAGAAGGCTGAGGGGGGATCTAGTGGCCTATTACAAACTAGTCATGGGGGATCAGCAGGCATTGGGGAAGTCCCTGTTCCCCCGAGCATTGCCAGGAGTGACCAGGAATAATGGTCACAAGCTGGCAGAGGGTAGATTTAGGCTAGATATCAGGAGGCGCTACTTCATGGTCAGGGCGGCTAGGATCTGGAACCAACTTCCAAGAGAAGTGGTGCTGGCTCCTACCCTGGGGGTTTTTTAAGAGGAGGTTAGATGTATACATTTCTGGGGTCATTTGACCCCAGTACTCTTTCCTGCCATGGCAGGGGGTCAGACTAGATGATCTACACATGTCGCTTCCGACCCTAGAAACTATGAAACTATGAAAATATGTGATGTAACTTTGTAGCTGCTTTCTACCATGCTATTAATTGAATGTGTGGCGGGGCCCCTATGGCTGGAAGCCCCGTCAGCTGATCAGTGTCCAGCTTGAGGAAGGGATGCATGTTCACCCCCAACCTGGGAGCTCTCAGCTGACAGGACTCCCAGCTACAGGGGAGCCTCAAGTACCCTGCAGCTGAGATACCACAGCTGATGCTGGCTTCCAGCTGGGGGGGGCGGGGCATGGGGTTCCCCCATAGCTGAAAGCCCCATCAACTGAGGGCACTTCTAGTGATGGGAGCTTGTTTCTTCCTGTTGCAGGAGGAGCCCATGGTTGGGCTCCCCCTGCATCACCAATAATGTTTGATGGGATCTGATTCATGATCCCACAATCATGCTTCCTGCCTTGCATGTGTGGCATACAGAAGGTGCAATTGTGTGGATCATGCATTAGATTCCTATCACATCTTTACCTACACCTGTAGAGGGCCCTTAACTATAATGAAAAGAGAGCAACTGTTGGGAGAAATTTAACCAACAGATGTGGCCTCTTTGTTGGGATAACAGTGGAAGAATACAAGGCCTTTAAGCAATTAGCCTGATATATGCTCTAGAAGGAGCTGAGGGGAAAATTAAAATACAAGTAAAAGCTATACTGGGGAGTATCTGATGAATGGAAATTTTGTGTTGAGAACTAAACTCTAATGGTATTTTCCAAAATTGTTCAAATATGCTGTATTCATGAATTCACATTGTCTGCATTAAAAAGTGGTTTTAGACTATGTATCCCACCATTGACTACATATCCCCACCATAACATAAAATAGTTGCTTTATCTTTAATTCTTTCCTTTTTTGTTTGATTTGTTTTTGCTTTCAGCTCAGAATTAGTCATCTAATACCCATAAGGATTGCTGAACCTTAGGCCATGGAAAGCATCACGTCTAAATTATACTCTTGGGCATTCTGAGTTTAGTCTTTGACTCTTTAGTTGTTATTTTTAGAAAATCCAGAGTCTTCTTGGTGCCTTCCAAATGTTTAAAAGAATGGGCTCTTCTCTAAGGAGCTCACAGGAATAAAAAGAAAGAACAGGTCATGGTATCTACTGCTGTCACAACTGATTCCTGCCACTAGGAAAGATGAGGAAACTTCAGCTGACAACTAGTCTTTACCCTGCAAAACGACCTTGTGCAGATCATATTTGACCAATCTGACACATATGAAGTTGATTGGAATCGCTCACTTAATACTGGATTGCAAAAAGGAGTATGTCTTAGTTCTAACTCTTGTTTCTTTTTCTTTAAATTTTACTTACTGGAGAAGATTGACTCAGTGAATAGCCTTGTATGTTACTTAACCAATATTTTGTTTTAACAAGATTTAGTTGATATTTAAATTAAATCTGTAGTTAGATTTGGATGACTGGAGAGAAATGATATCGTGTTTGAAACTCTTCCTAATGCCTCTTCCCTGTGTTTATTTTTTTTAAACTAACCCAAGTGTTAATCAGAAATAGGTCAAAATAATATAATTGCTTTAAAACTTACTGTATTCATAGGCGCATTTTTCCCAAAAAATCAGCCCTTCAAAATTAAAGTGCATGTTCTACGAGGGGAAAGTGATTTCCTCACTGGAATTGAAACATAGGGATCCTGTAACAGATATATAGGGATGCGTTACTGGCTGCCCAGTCTCTGCTTCTCATCATGGCTCAAAAAAGGGTGGACTGTAAGCCTCACAATTAAGTTTAATGCTTTGGCAGCAGTTGTGACAGGGTTAAAACCAGCTTTAGGCTGAACAGCTCCACAGCTCCAGTCACAGCTCAGCCATGGGTTGAGGATCTCCTGAAGTCAGCCATGACTCTGGACATACTGTATTGTTTTTCCTTCGTTCTGCCTTTCCAAAACAAATTATGTCTTGAGGGTGGGGCGGGGGAGGGTGTTATTGGAGATTTTTTCTTCTTTTTTCAAATTTATATTTATTTAAGAAAAAAGTCTCTAAATTTTCCTCCCAGAATTCTTAAGTTAATAAAAGAGAAGTTTAACTTCAAATGTGACTGTTAAGAAAACAAGCCATGGATGATGAGAGAAAACTCTGATGTCTAATAGTCTATGTAATGCACTGCATAACAATGAAATACCCCATAACCCATAACGTATCTTTAACCTTCTAAGGGTAAACAATGTATAATGTTCTGATATAAAACCCTTGTCAGTTTTTGTACTCATTCTTTGTAGCTAGTTAGGACCTTTATTATACACAGAAGTTTTACTGATGTTCATAAGACAATGAGAAATGTACACCTGAGAGCTTGAATTAATTAAGATATACTATGGTTAGGTTGGGTTCAGTTTTCATTTTTCTTCCTATTTTTTTAAGCTTCATGGCTTTATATAAGTTTTTGTTAGAAGAATGTGTTTTATATTAATCAGAATTTGCTTTCCATTTAATAGAATAACTTCCATTTTAAGTTACTACCATATATAGAAGAAAAATATGGTGATGCCACCACAGTGCAGTATGATTACAAGTGAAAGATGTTGTCTACTAGGATGGCAATTCTCTAAACTTCTTCCAAGAAAATTATTATGCATAAACTGTAACCTTCACCCAACCACTCACACAGACACACAAGTATACAAAAATACGAACTGTTTTTGACTGCTATGGGCAAAGTGATTCTCTCTCCTCCACCCCCCCACTACACTCCATATTCTCATCTGAATAATATCAGCATGATTAAAGCCTGCATGAATGAGTGACTGACTAAAATGTTACAGTAATTAGATGCTTAGTATGGAATTTTTCATGTGAATTTTATTGGCCTTTATTATGGGCAGTAAATGTGTGGAAGCTAAGAGCTAAAACTTTATGTGTAGACATAACGTAAAATAACCATTACAAAAATCCACAATAACAAACAAGAAATTATGGGTAAGCACTCTCATTAACACAGAAAACGCCTAGCATAAAACACTATAATGCACACCATATTAGGGAATGATAATAATCTCTGTGGATGCATTGAGACTTAGATGGGTGTTTGGTTCCCTGGGGACAATTAGCGCTATCACACTTTGCACCGCCACTAGTTGACCCCAGGGAACACCTGTGCCATACGCAGCCTGGCGTGTGGCAAGTTACCCTGGGTAAGGAAGCGGAAGCTGGAGCCAGCACTGGGCTGACCCCTAGCAGCCTTCCTGGGGTTCTGGGGCCTCCCAAGGCTGCAGCAGCGGTGATGCTGCCACATGGAGCCTGATTGGCAGTGGAGTGCGACTCCAGCCAACCAGGCTCCAGCTTCAGGCTGCGTACACTGCTGTCATGTACATTGCCCAATTTTTTCCTTGGTTTGACTTTACTGTGATATCTAACAGGGATGAGAGACTGAGAGCCTAGTGTCAGTTTGGCCCAGGGACAAAATCAGGAGGGGAA